TGGCTTTACTTCAGACAGTACAGCCTGAGTGAGAGTGCCCTAAGTTAATACAGTTAAGGTTGCAAACTTGAAATCCAGGATATGCACTGTTGCTATTATTAAATTAGTATGGCTTCGTGGCAGTGTCCATGGGCTAATATAATCTTTGGCAGTACATACTGGGGTCCAGGGAGTAGGAGTTGGGGGCAGGGTAGGTGTGTTTGACTTCTGCTTAAATATTCGTAAAACTGGTCCTGGAACACTGCAGTTCTTGGGTGGGATTTGACTGCAGATTCGATCATCAGAATTTAGATATCTGCTTGTAGGGCTTAAGATGCTTTCTTTGCTGTAGTGAGAGGGCATCTAGTCAATACAGTTAGTGGGCTCTAGAGAAATATTCAACCATAGGGTCACTAGGTATCCACTTAAATGTTAGATGAATCACTTCCTGAACTTCTAAACTAGGACAGGAGTTTCACTATGTAGGTCACATGCAGATGCCCACATTCAGGTTTCTGAGTCTCAAATCCCATCCCTTGGGCTCCACTCGTTCATTAGAGATCCTACCAGGTCATCAGGTGCAAGTCCAGAATGGTGTGGTTCCTATGGTAGTAGATCCTATGTCATAGCTGTCAAGCCCATGTAGGTGGCTTGGTGTCACAAATCACACTAGGAACTTACACAGACACACAACTGCATGGTACCCCTTATGCATATATTTTATAAGAGATGCTGAAATACATTGTAAGGTCCATTTAAAAACAAAACCAGAAAAAGCACAAAACTTCTTTTTGAATTATGAAAGAAAATCGAAGATGGAAGGCCTCAAAGATCTCACTCTGTTTGAGCTTGTTAGTGAGAAGACAGAGGTGCTTTGTAGGTACTTTCACAAGGACTCTAAGTACCCACTGGAGCAAAGAGCCAGCAGACCTGAGGGGTTCAAAATGGGGTGCTGTATGAAGGCCAGGTGCGTTTTTCAAAGAAGTACTTAAGTATGAAATACTGAGCTCAGGGTATAACTGATACAGAAGGGCAGTGATCTACAGGATGGAAGGGTAGACATTCTTACAAGACAGCTCGAACTCTAAATTTTGCTTCTGCATTTTTGTCTTGTAAACTTTATTAAATGACTTCAAACGGCTTGCAATTTGTTGTAAAATGTCTAAGATTATATAAATGGTATAGTTTCTGCAACAAAGGGAAAGGCTTATAGCTTGTGATATATTTATGGCTTATAGCTTGTAATTCCCATGTTTTTCCAAATTTTTATGGGTTTTGTTCTTACTGTTTTTTTACCTTACATCAAATGCTTTTCTGTTGTGTGGTTGTGGTACAGAAATACCTTGTTCTTCCTAGATCAAAACCTGTTTGAGACAGAAACTCCAGGATATCACTCTCAGCACCTATAAGAATTATGAATATGTAGGTCATCAGAAGATGAAGGGAAAGCACATGTTTCGCAAGTGAATGTGCTGATCAGAGTATTCACTTCCCCAGAGGGTTATAGGAGGATATGCTTGCTCTAGTAAGACAGGAGATTTCTTGAGGAAAAATAAGCCACAGCAAATAGAATGACTGACCAAAGCATGAGGGAAACCTCTCAGGACTCTTGCAGGCAAGAAGATGACTCTAATAGAAACAGCACATGCTTTTCTGTATTCTAGGGGTAGAGCATGTGCAGTCTGTGAATGGAGGATTCTTCTTTCTCTAGGGAAACTGGAGCAAATTTGAAGGTGGACATTGGACAATATGACTCCATTTGGACGCAAATTAGATTCCTCCATCCAGGTCTTTTCAGTCTCAGTAGCCTGTGCATCTGTTGTCTTTTGTGTAAGGTGGCCTTGTTTCCAGTACTGTGCAGGTAGCTATAAAATGTAATTAATCAGCTCTTATTTTTTTTAATTTGGCTATTGTTTTCTGCACAATCATTACAGGAGACTTTCAAATGCTAAGATTAAAAAATACAGTAAAAGATGCTGGTTTTATAGGCCATATTTTTTTTATGTAGAGAAATCTTGCCTGCTTAGCCTTTTGATGCAATTTTCAATTGTAAGCTCATTCTGCTAGCCAAGGTGTAGATACCCAGTCCTGAGCATTTCTTGCTGTGCAAACTGAATACCTAGCTCGCTGCTTGTCTCCAGCAAGGAGAGCAGTCAGACTACTTGTATTATTGTTATCGTCAGCCTGCTGATTATCTCAGGTCCTCCAGCTTGCACATCATAATCTACTAGAAGTTGGGGCAGTCTTCAGCTGAAGAGGTTAGTTGTGTCTTGTGAAACTCAGGAGCTAGAACCTTTGCCTTACCTCACACAGCAACTGCATGATTACAGTCTGCAAATGGTTGTGTCTGGCTTTCAGACTACTTCATTAAGAGTTAATTTATATGCAAGTTTGGTTTTCCAAAAAAACACCACACATGACTGATCCACCCTATCATAAATTTTTATAATGATAAGGTGGTGCAGGCTCATCTAAAATTCCTTCCAAAGGCGGTGTCAGATTTTTACTTTAGTCATCCTAACCATCTTTTCCTTCCCTGTATTTTTGCCGTAGCAAGGCTTTGTTTACATGAGCTGGATCCTCATAGTTCTACTCCCACTCCCACTGGCACTTTGCAACATATTGTAGATTAACATAACTAAAAACTTCAGTTTGGCTTTTTTTGTTTTTATTAATAAGCATTTCTTCTCCTCGGAATTCTTTTCCTGGAAGCAGCTTTCTTCAACGCTTCACTTCAGGTTTGCGGATGATGGTATGAAAAGACAGAAGTACTTCAGAAACTGCTTTTTTGTGGCTGTCTGGGAGGTCATGGAGGGAGAAGGGGAAGGCAGCAGGCATAGAAAGCAAATTTGGGAGTGAGTTGTCAGAAAGAAGGAACGAACTTCGATCTCCATTTGCCGATGAGGATGGAGGTGAGGGAGCCTTTAGAAATTAGCTAGCGTGTGAATGGCTGACAGGCTTGGCAGAGACAACAAGCAGTGCTGGGGAAAACGGTGGTCTAGACAGGAGAAAATTCGGAGGAGGTCAGGAATCTCTATTTCCTTTCTCTCTATCCCCTGATAAAAACAAAATATGCTTACAGGGTTTTAAAGGATACCAGAGAAGGAGAAGGTAGAGAAGGGCTGATGGCAGTGCTGGTGAGGAGTCAGGATGCTTTGTTTTGCTTTGTGCTGACATAACCATGTACATAATTGATCCAAGTGAAACACCGTGCACTCTCCCTGCCACCTTACCTCCTCGTGATGAAATCTAGGTAAAATGTTTGCAATCTACTGTATGTATTTACAAGGTCAAACAACATGATGCCGTCAACACCTTAACCCGCAGATGAGCCATGTAGTGGTAATGCAGCTTCCTTCAGAGCTTCTGCCCCATACCTGCCTTACAGCTATTTTCCTTACGAGATCTATGAGACCCTATAATATGCATTCAGGATCTATGAGATGCAAGGCTGTTACACTGATAAATTCCCTATCATGAGCTAAGATCTTGCCTAGAGCTGAAGACTAAATTGTGCTGACTCATGCAGTCATAATGCATAAGGTGTGTGGGTTTGCTATTTGGTCAGGTGAAATTAGGGTAAAGTCAGAGGAGCCTCAAGAAAAAAAAAAAGATCTTGGAGAAAAGGTTGTGCTCAGTTTTGGCTTTAGAGCCTGTGTGTGTGGGCTACCAGAAGCGCAACAGGAAATGCGATTTTTCATAGTCACTTCCGTTTAAAGTGTTTGAAAATCCAGGTAGCTCTGTGGTATCCAGCCTTAGCTGACGTGTTGCTTAACTTTCCCAATTTGATGCAGAGATAAAGGGACAGAAGCCTTTTTGCTGTAAAACACGCATTCTTGGGACCCAGTGGTCACTGATGCATTTGTGGCATCCAAAAATCGGGCAGCCACAAGATTCAGCTGGAATCTACTTGTGTGTCGTATGTGATGATAAAGAAGGTAGCTCCTCTACAGTCCATAAAATTGAGACCTTTTAGAAAATATTGCAATTTCAAAGGAATTTGTTAATGAAAATAATACAGCAATTCAGTGTTGAGCTAGAATTTCAGTTGTCTGCTTTTGTACAGGTTGGGTTTCCTTTTGTATATTCCCCATCACCACCACCTTTTTTTAAGGACACACCCTGATTTCAGTATGCCAGGACTCCTGCCATTCATATATACACACACAGCTGGTGTTCTGAAAGAAATTTGTGTGCAGATAATGCTTTTCATAATATATTCAAACTGAAAGTTTGATGTGAATTGGTCTGCAGGAAATGGGAGATTTCATTCAGCAAGTTGGTCCAGGATCCACTGTCCTAAGCAACAAAGCTTCATTCCACATTATGTCTAGTTTTCTAAGAGTGACTTAGAAGGTTTAGCCCAGCCTTTTGTCTCCTACTCTGAAGGCAACCTGGCAAAACTAGCCTCCTATGATAGTTCTTGCACTATTTAACATTTTCTTCTTATTTGTAACATTTCCCAGTGCAATCCTTTGGGAAGAGAAATCTTGCTTTCTTTGATACTGGGTTTTCTTTCTAAATGGGACAAAACTTGTTTTTAGGAAAAATTTACAACCCTATGTTGAAAGTTGCTCTTCCAACTGTCAAGTCTTTCACTGAAAGTCAGTCTTTCAGTTTCTTTTTACCTGGAGTGAAAAAATGTATCCCTGATTCATCCAATAGCTTGGATCCATTTATTTCATTTATCATCTGTTACTTTGTTACAGGAGTCTCAGAATAATCCACAAAGACAGACACTAAGGTTCAGTCAACCAGTTTTGTAAAGACATTTCTTAAAGAACAAATAATGCATAAGAAAAACATAAACTGCACAATTAGTCAAATTAGGTATTACTGTAAATTCTTCACGTTGCTTAAAAATAGATGTTGCTCATATGTTATACAATGCATCCGCTCTTAAATTTGGTAGTTATGTTTAAATATTTGGGTGTTTCAATAGTGTTAAATAGTTTTATACTTGTTCTAAATTAAATTCTTCTGGCAAAGAGTTTTTTTATTTTGTTTCTATTGTGTTGCAGACTCTCCTACAGATTTTTGGTGTGGTGGCTGTGGCTGTGGCTGTGATTCCTTGGATACTCATCCCCTTAATTCCACTATTTATTCTTTTCATTTTTCTTCGACGATATTTCTTAGACACTTCAAGAGATATTAAACGTCTAGAATCCACAAGTATGTAGTTTGGCAGGACTTAATGTTAGCTTGAACCCTGTTTATTATTATGTGAAATGCTAGTATTTTATAGACAATCCATCAAAGATCTTTTTCTTTTGCTATGCAAATAACTTCCTTATTGCCTTGGTTCTGAACTAGTGAATTACATGTTTAACTACTGTTTTGCATATTGATGAACCTTAGATATGTCAGTTTAACTATCTGTAAGTAAAGCTAGTTAAGAATGTGCTAAGTTCCTGGTCTTTGAGACCTTGCATGCACGTACTAATGGTGTTTCTGACATAATCTGACTCTTGTGCCTGACTTTAGCTTGACTATGATATGAAATATTAAGCATTATGAATAACAAACATGAGTGCCTCATGTCGTTAATAAAGCTCAAAGAATTTCTTCAGTGACAGCTATTATTAAAAATTTAAGACATTTTTGTACAAATTAATCTGCCTGGCTGTCTGTATGATTCTAATTGAGTAAGAGGACTTTGGTTAAAGATACTGCATATTTATTCTAAAAGGATGCAGTACAGTAGCTTGTATGGTTAAATATAAAGAAGTAGGATTAAAGATTAGTGTGGTACAAAAAGAATTAAATGTTGTCCTTCAGCTATTGCGAAGTCACTCTCATTTCCCATTGTAGCTCGAAGTCCAGTGTTCTCCCACTTGTCGTCATCCCTCCAGGGACTTTGGACTATTCGGGCTTTGAAAGCAGAGGAAAGATTTCAAAAATTATTTGATGCACACCAAGACCTCCACTCAGGTTTGTCATGAATTGACTTGAAAAATCAAATACTTTTCTCTGTAGGAGGGAAATACCTTGTGCCCCCAGCGACATCTATATAATGTACAGTAAAATCAATAGGAGCTGTGCATTTGTCTCTTTAGAGTAAAATTTCTGTTAGAACAAAAATGTTATTATCTGTCTAGATTTTGAGTTTACTTTGGGATGTAATATAATTTGAGATACCCACACATGTGTTTCAACAATGTCTAAAGTAAACATTTTAAAGTGTGCCTGATAAGAGACATTTTCCTGGATTCCATCTTTAAGCGGGGGGAGGGGGTAAACCAAGCTATATTATGAAACATTTCATATTAAGTGGTGTGCTAAGAGTAGGCAGAGATGATTAATATGAATCATCGTGGCAAAGTTCTATAAATCTCACTTCTTTTTTACTTGGAGCAGTTTTCAGGGCTCAAATCTAATATATGGTATTAATATGACCAGAAGATGTAAAATATTAGTATTCTGCAAGTGTAAGTAATATAATTCAGGTTTGCACTATGATTCTTTACCTTCTGTCAGTTAAATGTCTATTACAATGTTTTTCGAAATGCAGCAGAATGCACGTTTGCCATTTTATGTTTGTTAGGTAAGATCTTGAATTTCTTCTGTCATAAGACATATAATTTATAGAACTCTAAGGTTTCAGACCAGACCAGTTCATGTTTTCTGAAGTACAGTTTATCACAGGCTATAGAATTGTGCACACTGACCTCTGTATTGAGGCCAGTAACTTGTGACACATATCTTCCAAGGAGGAATCACCTCTAGCTTTGAATTCCCCATTTCTTAATATTTTCAAGTCCCTAGTTATCTGACCAAACCAATTTTACAATAGCTGATAGCGAGGGAACACAAAGTTGTTTGTTAAGCTTTGTATTCAAAGACATCTTTAGCCGATAAACTGCATATAGGTTTCACTATACAAAGAGGACTGTGACCTTTAAAAGAAACATTTTCTTGTGTTTTAAGGTCAGATCTAAGGAACAGATCAGTTCTGAGGAACTGTCTCCCACAGCATTCTCCTGGAGAAACTGGCTGCTCATGGCTTAGACAGGTGCACTCTTCACTGGGTAAAAACCTGGCTGGATGGCCAGGCCCAAAAAGTGGTGGTGAATGGAGTTAAATCCAGTTGGCAGCCGGTCACAAGCGGTGCTCCCCAGGGCTCAGTTTTGGGGCCAGTCTTGTTTAATATCTTTATTGATGATCTGGATGAGGGGATTGAGTGCTCCCTCACTAAGTTTGCAGATGACACCAAGTTGGGTGGGAGTATGGCTATCCAGTATGATCTATCTTAAAAGGAGACTTACCTCCTCCCTTTTTTTATAAAAGGTAGGATTATTTTAGTTTGAATCTTTCCAAGCGCTGGGTTAGGAACATGGAAAGAGTTGAAACAACACTGATCTTTAGCATGGAGTAATGACAAGCAATGCAGAAAGGATTGGAATGGTAACCTTCTGCTGTGACTTGGTAGCAGCTGGAACAATTCATCTGACTGCAGCTTAAGCAATAAATAATGCCATACTTTGTTATGGCTACTTGACTTCTGTTTTTGGCCCTGAATTCAAATACTTTGCCTTCTGTACTGCAGTGTCTTTCCCTGCTGTGTCCTGTATATTGTACTGTAGCATATCTATCTGGGATGGAATTTAGCACCAAATTGTGGACACCTGGATGTGAGTGCCCTGTGGAGATGTCCACCTGTGAGCTTCCCTGAAAGTCGATTTGTGCACTTAGTCAATTGAACAGCTCTGTAGCTCTTACGGGAGCTTAACCGGCTGCAGCTGCCTTCTAAAGACTTGGCTCTGACAGTTGTGTTGTGATATGTTCTAGCTAGAAGCCTGTAGGCTGTAGTCCAGCTACAGCAAATGTAGCTGTACTTCTGTTTTTTGTATAAGACTCCTGAGTCCACAAGAGTAAAAAAAAAAAAAGGCTTCCATTTTAAATAAATGGACCGTGCTTCAGGCCTTGACTGTTTTTCTTTTTCTTCCTATGACTGTATGTTATACTAGCTGTGGCTGCTATTAATGTGAAAACGAGGTTAGACCATTTCAGAAAAACTGGACAATATTCTGGTCATCATCAGTCCATACAGACATGTACTTGAAGATGGCAATGTGTGGTTTTTTTAACAAGTTATAATGAACGTGAACTAGTTTAATAACAATTATATGGCTTAGTTTTCTAATAATCCACTGTTCTTATGTCTTTGTAAAATACACTTTAGAGGCCTGGTTTCTATTTTTGACGACCTCGAGGTGGTTTGCTGTGCGTCTGGATGCCATCTGTGCCATTTTTGTTATAGTGGTTGCTTTTGGTTCCCTGCTTCTCGCCAAGAGTAAGTACAGATGTTAGAAAAAGTTCACCCAGTAATTACCATGTATAGTAATGTCTAATTCTTTTTCATAGATTGCTGTTTCTAATTGTTTAAGGACTGTAATTAAGTTAAACGTTTCTTTCTAGATCATGATCTCTTCCTCAGTCTAGGGCATTGGGGCTGTATCTGCTTTCCTGCAAATACTGGAGACAGTTCAGACATCTTCTGGGCTTAGGCATGCATCTACCATCATCCCCAAATGTGCAAACAAACTTGGAGATCTGTAGTCTTCCCTTTTGAGATTCTGGCTTTCAGAGCAATAACAACAAATAAATCTTTTTCTTTTTCCTCACCTTTGCCTTTCTTTTTTGGGCCTACAGGGCTTTGCTTTTTATACTGAAACACCCACAGAGCTGCTTCTTAATAACTTTTTTCCCTTCTACACATGGCACAGTAGGCCAAAAGGCAAGCTAAAATTCCTAGGGATACTCTTCTAATATCTTGGATCAGCAGGATAGGCCAGTTCCAGAAAGAAAATCGCCTCGTAATAATACATTTCATGTTCACTGTCACTCATGAACTGTCATTAGTGTATGCATCATCCAGGATGTAATTGGTTTAGATGTACTAGAATGAGATAGGCATCTAAAATATGAAGGAAGAAGTAATTATCTTGGACATGAAAATTAGTGCTAATTTGCTGGTTTTGTTTCTTTTCTTTTTCCTTTGGATAAGTTCTGTATGTGCATGTGTGTGTTAAAATTTGAACGCTTTGTGCTGCTCAACACTGAAAATTTTGAGCTAGGTTTGATGTTACTAGAACGCAAAAAGACAAGTCAAAACAATGGTCCTGAATCTTTCCTTGCCTCTGGATAAGGAGTAGCTCTCTTGAAGTCAACAGAGCTGTGCTAGGATAAAGTTCAAGTAAGTCAGAGGACAATCGTGCTTAATATGGGGGCAGACAGAATTAATTTATTTTGTGAGAATAGGCCCACTGAACACAATAAATGCTTATATAAACGGGAAGAAATATTGTGTCCTGTTATTTTATCTGATCACTTACAAGAGTACAAAGTTGATGTAAATGTTCGTAACTTACTTTGAAATCATTTTACACTCATTTTTTGCTTAGATTTAGGAGCTGATCTAATTCCCTTAGAAAAACGAAAAGTTACTAATGTTCAGCCAGATAGGGATGACCCTAACGATATATAAGTATGGTCTTGAGACTGAACCTTAGCTTTTAGATAAAATGCTAGGCCAAGGAGAATTGGGATTATCTTTTCAAATATACAGACAATTTCCAAAATGTACCCAAAAAAAAGCAGCAAGTAGCTGTTCTGCCTGGAGCTACTCATTGCACAGATGGCAAGTACAGTGTAACCAAACAAAATTCTGGCTGTGATGCTTCCATCATGTAAGTAACCTCATGAAAGTGAACTTAACTAGGATTTTGTGTAATTACCAGTGTACCTATTTGATTCTCTTTTTCCTTTGTTCTGCAGCTTTGAATGCGGGGCAGGTTGGTTTGGCACTCTCCTATGCAATCACCCTCATGGGAACATTCCAGTGGGGTGTTAGACAAAGTGCTGAAGTTGAAAACCTGGTAACGTTTATTTCTTCTTTTTCACCTCTTGGTTCCTTTTTGTGATTGTGACATGAGGCCTTAAGGATTGGATTCTTCTTAATTAACTTAGGACATGAATACCTTAGCAAACGATTCAGGCACCACTTACAGTACATAAAGAAAAATAGCCTCTTCTAGAGTATAATTTGTCTGCTGAGATGAATTGTGTCCAGTAACTGTCCCTCTCCATTCATAGTAAGAGAGACTTTATGATCTCACTTCACAGCAGAAAGGAGACTGTCTAGTTACAGTGTAGACAATTGCATTGCAACTTGCTAAGATAACAAGCAATTAATCCCTCTCTATAAGTAAGATTATTTTTAATTTTATTTTTTCTATTTGGGATTTTTAATTTATTATTATTTATTATTGCACTTTAAAATTTTATTTATACACCTCATGGCATTTTTAGGGTCCTGTTAATTCATTGTAAAGGTTTATATCTTCTTCATTTGTTGTAAGTTAACAGATATTTGGAAGTATTTGTTTATATTCAGCTGAGAGGAGTGTGTTTTCCAAAATACATAAACTAAAATGCCTTCCACCGATATACAATATTTACTAGCATGAACTAGTTTGCCTATTTATTTTAAGTTAATATATAAGAAAAAAGACTATAAAAAGAACACACTGAGCATAAACTTGGCGAGTTTTTTGTGTTATGTTGACAACTGAAGGTTACTTGTAATTATGATTTGCTGACCACAGTCTAGGAAACATATGTAGTCCTTTCATAGAAGTTGCAAAGCCATATTTAGTAACAGGTAAAATTAATAATAATATTAGATTTGTATTTTTTTGTCTAGTACGTTGCTTCTTTAAAGCATTTTTCAGACGTAAATAAACCAGTGGTGACAGACTTTGGTGAAAAATGGGAAGAAAGCTTTCAGGTTTTCTCATACCAGTTGGGAATTTTTGGAAGTGTCAATCTCTGGGACCCTCTTATGTAGTGAGTTACTCTCTTGGAGGCTGCGATTCAGAAATACTTTGGAGGAGGAAGGCTTTCCATTCACGAAGCTGGCTTTGATGTGGAAGGCTGATCATTTTATGGAGCTATGATAGCATCAACTTCTTTGACAGGTGGACATCCACCAGAAATCCCGTGTTATTAAAGGCTGACCACATTTGGGGGAGGCAAGAACATTTCTCCTCTATTCTACTCTGTCACTCCTTATATGCTTTTCCCAGAATCACAGAATCATTAAGGTTGGAAAAGACCTTTAAGAGCATAAAGTCCAACTGTCAACCCAACATCACCATGCCCACTAAACCATGTCCCGAAGTGCCACGTCCACATGTTTTTTGAACACCTCCAGTGATGGTGACTCCACCACCTCCCTGGGCAGCCTGTGCCAATGCTTGACCACTCTCTCAGTAAAGAAAGTTTTCCTAATAACCGATCTAAACCTCCCCTGGTGCAACTTGAGGCCGTTTCCTCTCATTCTATCGCTAGTAACCTGGGAGAAGGGACAAACACCCACCTCACCACAGCCCCCTTTCAGGTAGTTGTAGAGAGCGATAAGGTCTCCTGTCAGCCTCCTCTTCTCCAGACTAAACAACCCCAGTTCCCTCAGCCGCTCCTCATAAGACTTGTGCTCCAGATCCCTCACCAGCTTCGTTGCCCTTCTCTGGACACGCTCCAGCACCTCAGCATCCTTCTTGGAGTGAGGGGCCCAAAACTGAACACAGATTTCGAGGTGCAGCCTCACCAGTGCCAAGTACAGGGGCACAATCACTTCCCTACTCCTGCTGGCCACACTATTTCTGACACAGGCCAGGACGCTGTTGGCCTTCTTGGCCACCTGGGCACACTGCCGACTCATGTTCAGCCAGCTGTCAACCAGCACCCCCAGGTCCTTTTCTGCTGGGCAGCTCTCCAGCCACTCCTCCTCAAGCCTGTAGCGTTGCATGGGGTTGTTGTGACCGACGTGCAGGACCCAGCACTTGGTCTTATTAAACCTCATACAGTTGACCTCAGCCCATTGATCCAGCCTGTCCAGATCCCTCTGCAGAGCCTTCCAGCTTTTCCTTGGAGCTTATTTTGTAATGTGGAAAGGGTAGGTGGCAATGAGGTCAGAGACCTTGCTGCCTGGTGACCTCTGCCCTTAAAGCTACTCCAGGCAACATAAGCCTACTGGATATCTTTATGATGGGGTTTTTTCAGAATCTGTCTGTGATAGATGCGTACAGATAGCTCAACTTCTGTTTCTCTTCCTTTCCATAAGAGGAGGAAGACAGTCATCAGCAAATATTGCCATTTCTTTCATATCTGGCGTAAAACACATAGGAAAACAAGTTTTATTCCATAGAAGTCACTAATAATATGGTGACAGCTATCTTGGACTGTGGAGCTGCTTATGAGAAACATATTTAAAAGATTTGATGGGGGTGGTGAGCACAGTGGTACTGATGAGGGCAAAAAAAGGGATGATGAAGCCAGTAACTCAATGCTAGTAGCTGTTGTGCTAGCTCATATGACAGTTATGTTTCTAGCTTTGTCTTCCAAACACACAATGGTGTCATCTAAGCCAGACAGCTCTCATAGCTTAAATTTCTTAATAATTATGCACATACTTAGATTTGAAAATTATTAGACTGATTAGAAATTAATGCTTATGTATAGATTTATGTATCGTGATAATTTGGGTCTGTAGTAGGACATGAGAGGCATTCTTTCCACTTTTTCAGCTGTATAAAGTAAGCATAGGATGGTACCAAATACTCTTATCTGTGCTTAAAAGAAAAACTCTGGAATAATTTACATTCAATCTTTATAGTGAAAATACACACACACACATATATATATATATGCTTGCAATATATGCAATAAGCTGAAATTTATGTATATATGTCATCTTTCCTCCCCTTAGATGATATCAGTAGAAAGAGTAATGGAATACACAGAACTTGAAAAAGAAGCTTCTTGGGAGACCAACAAGCATCCACCACCTGAATGGCCAAGCCAAGGAATGATAGCATTTGAAAATGTTAACTTCACTTACAGTGTAGATGGACCTTTGGTGTTAAGACACTTGTCTGTTTTAATTAAACCAAAAGAGAAGGTATGTATATGGCTGTCTTTGGCCATTCACAGAAATTAAGCAAAGATGATAAGTTGACAAGAAGCTGTGTGATGAAAACACTTCATAAAATATATGGATGTTAGGAAATTAGTAAGTGTTCCTTTAAAAAAAAAGCCTTGGTCATATTTAATAACAAAAGTTTGAGCCTATTTATTCACTATAAGTATAGCATAAATGTGTCTAGGAACATGACTTTTCTGTCTATCAAAACAAAGGGTTAAACACATTTAGTAATTTTCTGATAAAATTTGGGTTTCGTCAGAAAGTGGCAGACATTCAAAACACCAACTAAGCCAAATATGTTTGATCAAATTCAAAACAAGTGGAGCTGCATTAGGAAATGGGGGATTCAATAGAGGGAACATAAATGGAACGAAGTATGTCAACGGACAAGGTGAGCAGAGACAATTGAAAATAAGGAACGTACATGCTCTTGCACAGAGCCCTGAATGGAAGAGAGAAGAAAGAAATACAGATCAGTTGCATAATTTTAGAATTGGGGATTTTATTTCAGTTCCTTTCAGCTACCAATTCAATTAACTGTTGCCATTAATTAGATTGGTAGCCAAACGAAACCTAGAAATAAAACTCTTCTTCCTCTGCAAATTTGACTCTTCCTCCTCAATTTTGACACTATCCCAATTGAAAGTGTGCTGCAGGGAAGGTCTCCCCCATAGACAAAATTAAATTAGAGCCCTGCAGTGTTAATTCGTGCTTTGCTACATTCAAAATGCACATGTACTTTTTTGATTAGGATATCTTCCCTAGGAGGCTGGTTCAACTCTCTACAATCATTGCCATGGCCTCATTTGTAACATGCTTTTCCATTCAGTCCCAAACCTGTTCCGTTCCTCAAGTGGACCTTTTTAATAACATGCATGTTACAAGAATTCAGCCCAACTTTGCTGCATGGAGATGATCTCATGGAATTAGGTATGGGTGAGTTAAAAATGGTGCTTAAGAAGAAAAGCAGAAGGGATGTTTATCTACTCTCTACTTTTCTTGCCTATGGGCCATCTCTCTAGCTGTTATATGTCACTCCAATGTAATAGCAGACAAGAAGATTTACATTTCTTAGTGAGAGACAGAAATAAAGTAGAATAAAAAACGGAAGCGAGAAATATTAGCAATGTGTGACTCAGTCCTTGGTGGAGGCAGGAGGGGGAAGGATGACTGGGGGTATTTATTTTTGCTGAGTGGTTATGCTGTGGTTTTGTCATCCTAAAGTGAATTTGCCCAGCTTGAAACTATTGCCAAGAACTTCATGTTTGTTTGCTATGATGTTTCGCACAATACTGCAGTAGACTGCCACTGTGTAAAATAAATCTCCCAGGCATCTGTGCTCCTTATATTGGTTTTAATTATGGAGAAGTGTTTCTTCAGAACCAGGTTTCCAGATCCGCTAGGGATTCTGCCCATGCGGCTGTCAGTAGACGTTCTTATGCCTGCTCAGACCCCTGGCTCGTACGGACTTCTGGTGGCTGCAGTGTCACTGGCAGGATGAATGAGTTCAAACTTCTGCTGTGCTTGTAGTTTTTCTTGTAGCCACCCCAGCACCCTGTCTGGGAAGCTGTGGGTACAGTAAGAATGGAGGAGGTGATTACTAGCAGATCAGTCGTGGGTTAGGGTTTCCTTTGATCCACTTGTCTCAGCATTCAGTATTTACCTACAGTCCAAGCAGGCTAGGAAGGACCCTCTGTTTTAACCGTCTTTGCTGATGTTGCGTAGTCTGCCAGAGACAGACCAGGGAGTGCTCATGTAAGGAGCTCTGCGAGCAGCTGGCTGTGATTAACCTCTTCAGCTTCTATAGCGGCAGCAGGAGAAGGTCAGCATGTGTAGCCTTGGGTTTTAAACACCGCTACCTTTATTTTAGGGTGCTTATGAATGCTTATTGACTAATATTGTTAAATGCACCTTGTCCTGGTAGATCCTAAATTTGAGGGTATGGCTACATGAAAAAGTTAGGAGGATGAGGGTCTGGATTTACGGCATGGCAGCTGTTCGCATAAATACTCTCACAGTGTAGCACGAAAGGGAGGTTGCCCGAGGGATAACAGAGACACGGGCAGTTTCAGTGGAGTAGCTGACATGCTGTAAATCTCACCCTCATTTTTTGTGCAGCTCTACTTTGAAGTACGAGTGACGCTTGAGTAATGATGAGCCCAGTGTAGCAGGTGTAGTCCTGAGTATGCACATGGCTTACATCGGGCAACAGAATCCTGGCCATGTGATTCCTGTTAGGTGGCTGGGACTTCCATTTGCAGACCGTCACCATATTTGCACTGGCTGTGAACATGGGCCTCTGAAGAATACAATGCATTAAAAAAATAAATAAATGGGTATGCTGAGAGCTGTTTCAAATTCATGTCAATTTTCAGCAGCCTGTAGTCAATTGGACCAAAAATACAAATAGATTCCTCTAAATACTGAAGAGCATAGTCCTTTCATTTGATGCCAAACTGAAAGTGGGATTTTGACAATATGCAGAGCAGCTGCATTTTTATTTTAAGTATCAATGTATTTTTTATGTTTTTTCTTTATATCCTTAATACAATACTTTATATCACTGACATTTACAGAGAAACAATTGAACTTTTGTTTTCACAACTCTGTGTCTGTGTTCTCCATTCAGCCTTTTCTTTCTGAGTTGTAGTGTAACTGTCAGAACTATTTTTCCTTTGTTTCACTGATATAATTTAGAATACGAGGCATTTTATCATTTCTTGTAACATATTTGCTTAAATTAGTCTGTATCTTTAATAATTAGCACTGTATAAATGTTAATTAGTTTGTATACAATAGTACAATAATGAATTGTTGGATGAAATTGTTGAATCAGAAGATAGAAGTAGAAAATATACTTTTAGGTTATGCAGCGTAAGTTGCTACTTGCAGTGTACTTTTTTAGTGTTTTGTGCATTTTGGATCAAACTTGGGCACTGGTGCTTTGTCTGAGCTTAATGTCTTTGACTGTTAGACAGTTTCTCCTTGCTCTTCAATGTAATGTTTCCTGTGCTTAATTTCATTCCAGCAGTCATTACTGCATACATCTGAGTCTCAGGCAGTGGGTAATTGCCCTCTGGTGTCTGTACGTATACTCGTGAAGGTTTTCATGTTTCTTCCTCCCTTCTGCACCCCCATCACTTCACCAGGCTATATTGTACATGCTTAATCCTCATAAATCCTTCCTCATCAAATCAGTATCTCCAACCCATATTAATTTTTTGTTTCAGTTCTCTGAACTCTTTCCAGCGTGTTGATTTCTTTCTGGAAATGCAGCGATTAGAACTGAGTGCAGGAAATAACAAATTCTGCCAGATCAGATCTATGTAGAGGGTTACGCCCGTCACCTTCTCTGATACAATTGATTACTGTACATTGTTTTCTCTAAGAATGCTTTACCTGAAGACAACATTTTAAAAAAAAAAGAGTTTGCTACTCAAGTAATATTTAATCACCACTAATTATATGTCTCCTCATTTATTAATGGGCCTACTTTCTCCCAAGTGTTGGTTTCATATGAAATATTTGTAGGTCTTAACCCTTTGTCATTAAAGTTAGCAATCCCATATTTTGCATTGTCTCTACCTCTTTTTTCCAAAACGCATTATTTTTTCACATTGCATACAGCTTCTGATTTTTCTTTGGGAACATATATAACATATAATCACTGTAATTTTATTATTCACTGTTTCTTCTGTCTGGAAAGGAATTGTGGTTTGTTCACATGGCCTTGCAGTTTCTATACTTGTGTCCTCTCTGTTGAAGCTGTCTGAAGCATGAATACAGTTTATAGTCCTGCTAGTTTTGGCTGTAGAGTTTGACTACTTTAAAGTACTTCACCTTAACCATGCTAACCAAAATCAGTCTCAGTTATTTAAATTGGGAATGCTCTTCATAAGTTGTTCCCAAAGTGCTTTATGGGAGTCCTTTTTTGGGTTGAGAAGTAGATGCATGCCTGAAATGATTTGCCTAACATCACCCAGCAAACCAGGTTTAATGTAAAAATGAGCAACCTTGAATCACATTACTCTATACACTGAGCCACTTTATCTTGTTTATTCAATAACACACCACACATTAAGGGAAAATCTTTCACCTCTGAATATGATCGAAGAAATTGTTTGGTATCCAAATGTCACCTGAATACAAACTGATTTGGGGGGAGGTTTTTTCCTCTTGAAAAAAACGTTAATTATAAAGGAGTTTTATTTGGTGCTTGTTCTACTATAAATCCTGTGATGTAAAACTATTGTTTGATATATTAACTTACCTGAAAAGCTCATGGTTTAATTGTACAAACTTGGATTGCTCTGTAGGTTGGAATAGTGGGAAGAACTGGAGCTGGGAAAAGCTCTCTGATAGCAGCCCTCTTTCGCTTGGCGGAACCTGAAGGAAGGATTTGGATTGATAAGTACTTGACGTCAGAGCTAGGACTCCATGACTTGCGGAAGAAAATTTCAATTATACCTCAGGTAAGAGAGTGACTTGGTCTGCTGTAACCATTTTCAATATAATGCTGTAGTATTTAAAATGCTTTGCCAGGATATGTTCCCCCTGCACCCCTGTATGCAGTAGACACAGAAACTTTAACTAGGAGTTATTCTTATTTGAGTAAGGTCTTGATTATTTTAAGATAAATAGAATCAGCTCTGGGGACTCGAGCATTTTCTTCATAGTTTTGTCCCCTGTCTATTCCTCTGGAATACTTGTGAGTAGGTGTTAGCAGTAGGTGTCTTCCTATAGTCTTGGAAAGAGCAGAGAAAATCTGGCAGAAATATACCAGTCTTCAGCAGTCCTCCAAGGTCACTTGATCCTTTGGCAGCAATTCCTGCCTGTTGCATTGCCTGAAGCTTCCTTGGTAAGTGACTTAGAGGGACCACTTTCACCTCTCTAGTCACCCCTATACAAACTGACTGAGGCTAGATCCAGAAAGAGCAAATGTGCCAACTAGAAGTGAACTACCAGCCTTTCTGTTATTTGGGAAAGGTTGGACAGGAGGAGACCAGGGGAACAGAAAAAGAGTGGGGTCATTATGACCCATAAACAAAAAGTTGTTAAGCTTTAGAAGCTGAATGCAAGAAAGGCTGCAATACAGGAAGACAACTAAGATGGTGTTGGGAATAGCCTCATCTCTGGTGCTGGAGGAGAAGAAAAGGTGTTCCACGAAGTTCAGTAGGATACAGGTCTTCTCTCCTATGGTCTTACCTTTAAATGAGACTTTTAAATTGAAACAGAGAAGGGTTATGTATAACCTCAAAACTTCCTGAAGGCAGAGCCTGTGCAGATTACCATGTTTCATGAGAGCTGTGATCTCTTCCATGATCATTTGCTCTCTATTGGAGAGGGAAGAATAGGGAAAAGCTCATATGCTGCAAACGCACAGTCATGTTTTTAGCAAATAATTATCTGGGATGTTCTGGCAGGTAGATAGAACAGTAGGCTGGAAACCAGGTGAATTTGTTTGCCATGTTTAGCATTAATTCTCAGATCTCTGTATTTTATTACTAAAGCTGTATTTAGAGTCCTTACACCATCTTTGTATCTGAATGTTTGCTAGCCCGTCGGCAGGATGGCATTCAGAGTATTTCTTTAAATTGAGAATCTGATAAAAACGGTAATGAATAATGGTTCTAAACCTCTCTTGATTACCTGCCTTTTTTTTTTTCCTTTCTCAAGAATAGGAGACAGAGAAAAGAAGCAGGTATGCTATTATAAAAGAAAAAAGGTACTCCCCCAGCAATTGGATTGTTGCCTAATGCAGGATGTCTTTTGTTTCTGCATGCTGAAGGCTTTATTATTGCACAGTGGAGGTACTCGCTGGAAGTAGTCAACTTTTTTATGTAAAGAGGACTTTATGTGGATTTAAGTTCTATTTCTCCTGAAAGCAGATGATCATCAGTTCATTCAAGGTCTACAGCTTTTTGAAAGCCTGGCCTGTAGCTATTGCAGGTGATTTCTACTTTTGGAAGAATTCAACCCAGTTGAATAAAATAGAGTACCGAGACAGAAAAACTACTGGTCAAATACAGTTTCTAGATGTTGAGTGATGCAGATGCTCAAGGTTCACTGCATTTAATTATATACGGGGTTTTTCTTACATTGGTCTATTGACATGGTTGTAAAAGTATTTTAATCTAGTTAAATTCTGTGACTTTTATCAGGTTTACATGATAGGGTTTTCATTGTGGTCCTGAAGGGTTTTACGTGTCCAAAGGCTAGCAGGCAGCATTTCTTTTCCACATAAGGGAAGACTTCTTTTCTACTAAAAATATGCAAAACTATGAAGTGGTGGTAGTAAGAAAAGGAGGAGGGTTTGGAATAAGGTTTATACTGTAGTAAACTGAGTGATAGGCATTGTCTTGTACTGTATTAATAGTCGTGTCAATAATAGAAATAATAACGTAACATCAGGTAGTTATTTTGCAGCAAATATCTTCATAATTATGTGGGAAGCTAAGAAACCAGAGGGAGAGATGCTTATTAAAATTATAACATAAAACATGCTAAACAGAAGCATTCCTAGAGAGTGATGAGGCAAGAGTGAAGTTTTCTTATATGTAAGTTTAAATACCTACCTGGAGAAATAAAAATGTGCTTAGGCTTCTAATTGCTTGCTTGGATGGAGCTGTGTGAAGGTTGTGTTTGTAAATCTTTTCTATGCAAATGTTGTCTGCCTCCCTGACTGCAAGCATTTTTACAACAATTATTTACAGGTTTTTCTTATTACTTTCCTCTCATAAACCAGACTATTTTAAATAATAATCTGTGTCAGAAATGATAATTAAAAAATATCCTTATCTTCTGTTGCAGTACATGTCTGTTGTTAGGACTTTTATAATAGTTATGAACACTTTGTAAATTCAGCCTCTTATTTTGCCAACCTATAAAAATGGATTGAAAAGGAAAATAAATGTAACAATACCTTTCAAACACACCAAATGGCATATTAAAATATGTATTGTTAAACAAATCACTTCCTCAATGTTTTTGAAGAAAAATGTTCTTTAACCTGTTCATGTTTTCTTTTTAATCCTTTTGTTCATTCAGCAAGTTTTTAGTGACATGTTCCTAATGCAACAGATACTTTCAAATAATTGGCACGTTATATCAAGAAATGCATATGTTCTTTTACATTGCTTGTGGCATGTTCTGTCTTTGTTAACCCTTGTATAACACTCAGTAGTTTAGAAATGAAGACTCAGTAAAAGGGGGAAGGTCTAAATTCTGTTCTGCTTTGCTGCAGCCCCTTTGGAGCTGGGCATCACTAGGGTTAGATGGGGCGTACGTCACAACAGAGGTTAATCTCGGAGTAAGCTGAAGTTAGCCAATGTAAGTTAGACTTTATTTCCTAGGGGAGAAAAAAAGAAAACATTTTGCATGAGATTTCTCTAATTTAAAGAAGGCTGACAGCATGATGAATGGTCTCCATTTATGATTAGCACTATTACAGCTTTTGACTTGTTGTTGTCTTTATGTGTGGTATTAAGAGGAGTTTAGCCCTAAAGTCATGTCAGTGCATGACTTTCAGGTCTGGCAGCTCACATTAGTGAGTACTGATCCATTGCTTAAGGAGTTCTGGACCAAAAGTCATCTTCCCACTTCTCAAACACTACATTTTCCAGTGTGAATTGATTTGTGCCAGTTTCATTAATAATCTGTTATTGGTCTGACCAGGAACCGAAGTAGAACAAAACTTGCTTTGACCATGGGTAAACCCACATTGGTACCTGAATGGGAGAAGGTACTGATTTGACTCCCTGGTGTCAGAGCTTTCATTTTGAGTTAGAGCTTTGCCCAGCAGTGTTCCAGTTCTAACTAAGTTTGCTTTGATTCTGTGGCAGTATAGATTAACTTCTATGTGTATAGGTTTAAACATTATATTGAAATGGTGAAAGCTGTTACTCTTAGGCTCTGCTGGTAAAATTAAAGGGCTTTTATGGTGTGAAATGAAAAAAACAAAACAAAAAAAACCTCACAACCAAATAGAGAAGGAAAACCGGAAAGGCATTGTGAGCTCTTTGATTCCTCTTTGGTTTATGTACTTCAAAAACAAATTTTCAAAACTGCCCAAACGTAATTTAGGAGTGTGAGCTCATTGACAGTTGCTGGTTTTCATTAACAATACCAGGAGGATAGGAATGATTTCATGTGAGTATGTAGATAGCGTGGCATGTAAATGCCCGTTTCAGTACCAACATAACTGTGTACAGCAATTTGCAAACAGACCTGTCCTGTTTGGTAAATTATCTTCATACAGACTGGTTGAACACTTGCCCTCCTCCCCCACTCCCTTTAAGCATGCTATTGTGTAAGCTTTGCATTTCATCAAAGATAGCTTGTTATTGGATATTTCTGTGCTATTGTTGATATAGGTTAGTTCTGATTATTACTAAATTACCTACTGCAATATAAAACCTGTGTTTATAATTGAATGCTAATTTTACTTGGTTTTAGGAGCCTGTTTTATTCACTGGAACTATGAGGAAAAACTTAGATCCTTTCAATGAATACACCGATGAAGAGCTGTGGAATGCCTTGGAAGAGGTGACTTACTAAATCTAATAATGTACATCTGATATTTATAAGCCAAATAACACTACAGTGCTTGTGTGCGTTAGATTTTAGATGTTTTCATCAGGTTTGATAAGGGCATAGCTGTTGATGGAAAAAGGTAGACCGTTGTGTGTGTGTTTGTATATATGTGTGTTTGTACATGTGTGTGTAGGCATGTATATTGTTATAGAAGTCTTTTATGAAAAAATTATTCTTTGGGATGATGCTTTGGTTACATTTTGATTCATATCTTAGTTTTAATGAGCATTAATAGATTCTTAACAACGTGCTTTAATGTTTTTAGAATTCTAATAACTGACACACTGTGTAATCCAACTTGGCACTCACTCATTTTGTGTCAGAATGTAAAAGGTAAACCTTGCATACTTATTGTTGTGTCATCAGACACACAATAGCTGATTTAAAAGAGAGTTACTCATCCTACAATATGTTGACATGTCAACAGGTGCAACTGAAGGAGGTTGTGGAAGATCTACCTAATAAAATGGAGACGCAGCTGGCAGAATCTGGGTCTAATTTTAGTGTTGGTCAGAGACAGC